GCCGCCGTGCGCGCTCAGGCGCGGCCCCGCCGCGGCGCCGCCACCGTCGCCGCGCCCGCTGGCGTCGCCACCCGTCACGATCGGATAGTAAACCACTTGCTGCTGCTGCTGCATCTGCTGCTGCTGCTGTATCTTCTGCTGCTGCTGCTGCTGCTGCTGCTGTATCTGCTGTACCTGCATCTGCAGCTGCTGCGAGGGCGCCGCCTGCAGCACCAGGGGCTGCAGGTGCACCACCTCACCGCCACCGCCGCCGGCTTGCCCCTGCGGCGGGGCCGCCGTCACGTACCCAACGGATTCAAAGCCGACCAAGCTGCCCGCGCCTGCCGCCGCAAACTGCTGCTGCTGCTGCTGCTGTGCCGCATACACAGCTTGGGGTACCCCCGCTGCGCCCGGTCCCGCACCGGCAAACGCGCCTGCGCCCGCGCCCGCGGCCGCCCGGCGCGCGTTGGCGCGCCGCACGACCAGCGGCCGGGCCGGCTCGCCGCCGAGGTCGTTTGGCGGCAGGCGGCACCCGTTCAGGCGCAGCGCGGCGCTGTCAGCGTCCGCCTTGCTTCGGAACCACACAAATGCCGAGCCCTTGGACTCGTGCGTGAACCTGTCCCGCACCACCACCAGCTCTGCGACCTGGCCGACTGACTCAAACAGCGGCCGCAGGTCCTGTTGGGCGCGTGTGTGAGTGTAAATGGTGGGCAGAAGGATATTTGAGCGTGTGTCAGGATTGCGGGGAGGAGGGGAAGTGCGGGCGCGCATGTGTGTGTGTGTGTGTGTGTGTGTGTGTGTGTGTGTGTGTATTCAAACTCGAAGGGGAGGAGGGAATTTGAATCCACATATGTGTATGTGTGTATACGGTGTGTATAGAGTGTGTGTCTGTGAGGTATGGTGTGCATGCACGCGTGCGTGCGTGTGTGCTTGCGTGTGAATGTGCTGTTGGGCACAGCAATGTGCATGCGTGGGACGCCCAGAGGAAGGATAGATTCGCATTCGCTGGAGCTCCTGTGCGACGAAAGGGCTAGGGCATGCGCTCTGATGTCTTGAAGCGCATTGGACGCGCGCACCAGGCGCCCAAATCGCGCGCGCCAGCGCGAACACGGTGGCGCGCCCGGGATTGCGCCGTGTTGGGCGCGCGCTTGCGTGGCGTTGGCCCCACCTCTTCAGTATACGACTTGGGCACGTTGCCTACGAAAAGCTTGTAGGCATCCAGGGCGCAGCTGGGGGGCGGAAGCTCAAGCTGCGGCGCCTGCGGGTGGGGCATGACAGGCCATGGGCAGGGGCCTGCGGGAGGCAGAGCCGCAGGGAACCAAGGGGGCCCAGAATGGCGCCAAGGCAGGCTAGCAGGCAGGCGCGCAGGTAGACAGTGGACGTGAAAGAAGCCGACCCAGCGTCTCACCGCAGTGGGGCCAGGGTCTACCAGGGCACGGGCGACCGCCTGCGGGCCGCTGCCGTACCCCTGCATGTGCTGACCGCTCCCAAACACCTGCTGCGCCGCCGGCGCGCCGCCGCCGCCGTAGGCGCCCCTTGCCGCTTGGGGGGCGCTGAAGGCGCCGCTCTGGGCGCGCAGGGCGGCTGAGCTGGAGCCTAAGAGGCCACCGAAACCCGCAAGGGTGCCAGAGGAGATGGACCCCGATGACATCATCCAAGATTCAGACATGGAAGCTGCAGGGGCGGGTCAGTCAGTTCCAGATGGATGTTGAGGCAGGCCGGGTAGGAGGTGGGGGCAGGGCTCCAATTCACACGCCGCATTGTGCATCAAGCGCAACCCATCGCACAGCAAAGTTGGATGTGAAGGGCAGGGGTTGCGGGTGAATAGGCGAACGGTGCTCACCAATCCCCGCGATCTGCTGCGAAGCCGGCAGAGGATCCCCTGCAAGTGCGCCCGCCCCCTGCTGCTGGGGCTGGCCGCCCCCGCCCTGCCGCATGGCTGCCAGATGCTCCTCCCGCCGCCGCCGCTGCAGGGCCACATCCATCCACTTCACCACCTTGGGTTTGGTGGTGTCACAATACGGAAGGCGGCCGAGATTGCGGTTAGCAGGAGTCCGAGGGCCGAGGGTCGAGGGGCAAAGGCAGTGGAAGACTGACTGACCAGACCCACCGGGCGAGGGTGCCGCCGCATGCTGATAGCCTTTGCCGTCGCCCCTGCACACAACTAGCAAGAATCCCACCACCGTGGGCCGCAGCGCGCGGCCAGCACAGCACAGCACGGCACAGCGCACGTCAGCGCGCCCAGCGCGCCCAGCATGCCGACCCTCAAAGCGCACCATGGGCGCGTCCATGCCCTCCCAGGTGTGCCGGCTGTCCAGGGCTTCGATCGCGGCCACGGCCTCTTCATTGGACCCCATGGTGACGAGGCCGCAGCCCTTGCTGGTGGGCGCCCCCTGCGGCGGAGGGCGCGCGCATGCACGAGTTGGGGCATGCGCGCGCGCGCGCGCGTGCGAGCACGAACTCGTGCGTGCGCGCGTGCGCGGCTGGGTCCACGCGGTCCGGGCGACAGCTCCTCGCATGGAGGCGCCGCGCCCTGCAGCGGCCGAGCACGGCAGCCAGCCCCAGCCCGACAGCCTGGGTTGACGGCCCACGCAGCGGGTAGCTGCCAGACGCGGGCCGTCGGCCCGCACCTGCGGGCTCGCGCCGCCCGCGAGGACGATACGCGGCGGCCGGGGGTACTTTGTTGCTGCCCACTTGCACGCTTCGCTGCCGCCCGCCCACCTGGAACGCCCTGAAGAGGTTGACCTCGAATACGCGGCCGTAGCGGCCGAACAGCGCCCGCACCTCGTCCTCCGTTGAGCTGCGCAGCACCTTGGCGAAGAAGAGCTGCGTGTGTGTGTGTGTTTGGGGGGGGGTTGTTGCATGAGCATGCGTGCGTGCATGTACGTGCGTGCGTGCGTGCGTGCGTGCGTGCGTGTGTGTATTAAGCGCGCGTGAGTGTAGGTGTGTACGTGTGTGTGTGTGTGTGTGTGTGTGTGTGTGTGTGTGCGTGTGTGTGTGCGCACGTGTGTGCTCACACATGCATGTGTCGTGGCAAGTCGGGCCCACTGATGCCGCCTGCTTGGAGGGCAGGGTGCATCTCAGATGGCACAGGAAACTGCGCTGCGCCAGCACACGTCAAGAGCTGTCCCACGCGACACGTTGCCAGGCCAGGCCGCGGCAGGCCAGGGCAGCTATTACTGGGGATGAGCCCTGGCTGCGGGTCTGTGCGCACCATGCGATTGTCTGTGTTGCTCTCCTCCACCGCGCGCCGCTTCTTGACCTGCAGCTCGGGGTCGGCCCACTTGACCGCCATCGGGTTGGAGCCGCCCTCCTGCCACAAGTGGGGGAGAAAGTGTGCACGCTTGTGGGCAAAACCATGTGGGTGTGCTTGATTGTGTCACATGGAGGAATGATTCTGTGTGCGTGCATGCGCATGGGCGCGCATGCGCATGTGTGTACGTGTGTGTGTGTGTGTGTGTGTGTGTGTGTGTGTGTGTGTGTGTGTGTGTGTGTGCAGTGTGCGCACTCACGCACCAGACATGCGTGCTCATAGATGCATCCTCGTACGCATGCACGCATGCCCATGCGCATACCGGTGATAGGCCCTCACGTGCCCACACTCGTGCACGCTTGCATCGACAGGTGCGCAACCCCTCCCATCCCGCACAAACGTAAGGTGGGGAAAAATCCAGCGTCAGCAAGCCCACCCCACCACCCCCGCACCAGAGTGTGCTTCTCATCCAACCCCTCCATGGCGGCCACCGCCTGCGCACGCGTCTCCATCGTCACAAACCCGCAGCCCTTGCTCTGGTTCGTGCGGCGCTCCCGGAACAGGTTGATCTCCTTCACCACGCCATACCTGCGGAGAGAAGCGGATGCATGCGTCAAGGCAACTGCGGGTCACCTCAGGGGCTTGATGGCTCCAGGCGCCGAGTGGTGGCCAAATGGCGGGGCATGGCCTGCGCCCTGGTGCGAGCGCCGCCACCTGGAATCATCGGCCCGCGCCTGCGCCGCCACCCATTGCACTGCCTGTGCGAGCTGCAGCTGTGGCAAGTCAAGTCAGGCGAGGGCGGAGCCACGCGCGCCCCATGAAGCTTGCTGGGAGCAGACCTTGCGAAAAGGGCCGCGACGTCCGCTTCTGTCGCCGTCGGCGGGCACCGCGCGAAGAAGAGCTGCCGATTGTCCTCAGGTCCCGAGCCTGCTTGGACATACTGGTGGCTGCGTGCGAACCGGACCTGCGGCGCAACGCGGGATCAGCATGGGCGCGGGAGGGCCGACGGGGTCCGCAACGGGTCGCGAGAGCGGCCGAGTGTCTGCTTCCCTGGGCCCCGCTGCCGCTCGGGCGAAGCGCATTGAAGGGCAGCCCGCTGCACGGTTGCTCAAGTCCGCGTGACGCCGCACGGCTGCATGCCAGTGATGAGGCGCGCGGCGGGAACCAGTTGCCGCCCACGACAGGCCTGGGCCACGCCCAAAGGATGCCCTCGGCCTTTGCCCATGGCCCCCTGTGGCCGGCCGCGCCCGCCGCACCTCGATCTTGTTCTGGGCGCCGGGCAGCTGCACGCGGCGGTCGAGGTTTTGGATGGCAGCCTCCGCCTCCTCCCGCGTTGCGTATGACACAAAAGCGCAGCCGCGCGGCTGCCCGGTGACCTTGTCGTTCAAAACAATGATGTCCTTCACATCACCCCACTGCAAGCACATAACGTGCATCGTAGGACAATGCATAAGCTCGTCGCAGCACCCGCCGGGCGTCTCTCTGGAGTGTTGCCGACAGCTAATCGCGCAGTGCAGCATGACACGGCGCAGCGCAGCGCTGTCCAACATGTCTCGGCGGCGCACCTGGTCGAAGAGCGGCTTCAGGTCCGATTCGCTGAATAATTTAGGTATCCAGCCGACGAATAGCCGGAACAAGTGGTCGGCGGGGGGGCTGTCGAAAACGGCCGATCTCTCCAGTTCCTGAGTGTCGTTCTGATCCTGTATGTCGTGGGGCGCAAGCTGGAAGCCTGTGAAATCTAGTCAGCAACCCGCTTGGGGTGGGGTTCCTTCCCCAGCACGCCCCAAGCGAGGATGGTTTCGGACTGGTGCAGCCACCACACCCACCATGGATGCCCGGGTTCTCCACTGCAGGAGTGAAGCGAGCTCCCTGAAGGCGCCCTGAGTTCTGCTGGGCAGCATTAGGCCGCTCCACCGAGCTTCAACATCACCATGCAGGATTGCCCATCTGAGCGCAAGCTGCCTCTTGTTGTGATAGAGGAATGGTCACTGTGCGACAGTGATTGGGATTGTTTCGATTGGTGTGCGTGTATCTCCTGCGTGATTTTCTGAACGTATGCCGATCAAGGCACAAAGTGTTCAGATCAACTGTGCAAAGGAGCATCTGCAGGACTGCTGCATAGGGTGGATTATATTTGCCGTTTGCGGTACACTGGGCGTTGCTGCAACGTAGCGATGTGCCGTCGTTGTCGGGTCAGCCACATGTGGGTGTCATCTTATCATCCTCATGCCGTATCATCGCGCTGCCCAACAGAACGTGCCTGGCGTCGCAGCGCGCATGATACGCACACACAAATCCTAATCGAACAAGGGTACGGCGCCCTATAATGCTGGATGGGCCTCCAAATCACGGCCACGCCCAAGGCTCTGGCGGTGGTTTCGACTGTTGCACTATGTCACCGGGAGGCCAGCGCAGCGAGATTCGTGTTTGTCCCACTGTGTCAATGACAGCCAAGGCCGGAGCTGTCCAGCTGATCCAAAACCAACGCCCAGGTGATTCCGAGTATCGAGGGGTTCCGATGGAATGGGTACAGGCGGCGCTACCCCACTCGCTTTGAGCGCACTCTGCATCTGCTGTGTGCAGTTGTCAACAGTGGTGAACACTCCGGGCGCCTCACGGTAACGCGCTTAACGTCACTGCAGGCATGCCACGGTGAATTTTTTCTACGGTTTGAGCAATGCAGGGGCAGCATATGCCAGGTAATGAGAACTGCTCCTGGTCTGGGCCGGGCACCATCACCTGGCGGATGGCATCTGCCCCTCTCGCAGCAAAGGTGGTGAAGTGAAGCAAGGCGCCGCGCAGGATGTCCTCGTGCAATGGTGCTCAAGAGCTGCTGCAGCTGCGCCTTGGTGGGCGCAGCACGCTCCTGAAGCGGAGGCTGCTGGCAGGAAGGCGGTGCGAGGCACATGGGGCCGGCCTTTATTGGCAAACAACTTGTGATGGTGGGGGCACACATGGTTCAGGCACACAAGGAAGAAGCTGCGGAAAATGTCACGTTTCAAGATTCCTCATTGCCCACACAAAAAGAATTCAGGCACTCTTTTTCGTTACCCGCATTTGCACGCATACAGGGTGTCCATTCATGAATTTGGGGGCCCCAACAGATCATCCCCAGCCGCAAAAACGACTTCCATACTTCCGTTGGCGCCGCACGCAGTGCAGGCCAGTCTCAACTTGCGCCGCCACAGCTGCACGCAAGGCTAGGGCCGCTCAGACCCATGCAGCTAGCCCCAAGGCCTGCGCATGTCTACCGCCCACAGCTGGTCGCCCCAGGTGCCAGGCAGTCCCTGTTGGTGGAGCAGCGTGGTCACTGCATTTCTGAGAGCTCAGCACCCATTTCCCACAGCATGACGCACATCGAATCAGATAGGTATTTTTAGGGACCTCAGTCAGCACCAAAGTAACGGGCGGGTGTCGTCGCCAGCGCAGCAGCGAGGAGGCGTAGGGTACACGCGTGGTGAGGCATACCCTATAGCTGACTGTCAAAGGCGCACAGTGGGCATTGTCAGGAATGTCTGGGCCTACCCATACACACATGCCCTCGTCCACGCCGATGCTGCGGTGTTTTCTTTTAAACACCTGAACCAGCCCTATATGTGCCGCGCAAGCAGGGTGTGCACATGAAGCGTACCTGCATATAGCCCTCGCCGTTATGTTCAAAGGTTGACATGTTGGCAGCATGATACATTGCTTGCCGCAATCGCCTCATCAGTTGCTGTGACCGTCAGGATGGTGTGCAGCGTTCTGGTCAACAGCTCGACACTGATGCCGATGGCAGGCTGTTTGCGCAGACAGCTGAGGGCAGCATACACAGTAGCACACATGGATGTATTGGATTACCAGTTTCACCGTCTCACACCTTCATCGTGAAGTATCACTTTCCATCCGCCACTGCAATGGTGCGCGTGGTGACTTCCAGCGAGGCTTGAGAACTAAGTGTGCGCAGCAGACATAAAAGGTTCATGCAACTTTATTCGGCTCGTCGCACGCTGGCAGGATGCGCACACGGCCCTGGGAGCCAGCGCGCTTTCTGGTGCTGTTTATCACGGGCGTTTGGGGTGTGCACGGTGCTAATGCGCAGTGGAAGCTCCAATGCGCAGGTAAGCCTGCGTGCGGCCGTGCGCAGCGGCGCGAGACCCGCTGCCCACGCTCCATGACGTGCCGATGTGCTGCGCTCCTGCTGTCCGGCGTTGCCTGCTCCGCTGCGGCGCAGCGACCCGCTCAATGTGCCATCAGGACATCAGGCTCCATGCGAAAAGTGTAGACGAGCTTCCCGGGGCCACTCCCTGCTGCGTGTCGCTGTGCGCAGCCGGGTCGAGCAACATGCGGCACTCAAACCGCCGTCAATTCGCCTCCCCCAGATCCAGCGATCGGGGATGCAGTGGTATCATACAGCCCGCTGTACGGCCGCGCCAACATGAGCGATTCGGCCTGGAACGACCAGGTGGGGGGCGCTGCGGCCTGACACGCGCGACGCAGGGCGGGAAAGGACCCCCGGGACTGCGGCCGCCGCGGAGCCCGAAGCCCGCGACGCGCGCTGAGCGTGCTGCCCTAGGCGGACGCGCAGCTGCCAAGCCTAAGGGCGGTGTCCCCGCGGCAGTGGCCAGCGGAGAGGGCTGCGGCACCCCATGATCCCTCTGCGGTGGGACGGGTGTGCAGGTTGATGAGATGTGCACGAGGTGACATCAGCAGTCTGCGACGCAAACCGACCGGTGGACCCCGACAAAGTACCCCCTGCACGGCCCGGCCGCCCTGCCGGCTTCTATCCTGCAGACGTGGGCGTTTGCGGAGTATGGGCCCATCACCGCCCTGGAGCTGTACCACAGCGGGAGGTGCGCCAAGCCCTGCTGCAGGCGGTGCTTCGCGCGGCCTGGCTGCCAGGGTCGAGACTTTACTCCTTTGGGGGACAGCGCCCAGGCGCGCCCGCGGCCTTGCTTACTCTCGGGCCTGCTGACTCCCAGGAATCCCCCGAGGTGACACCCCTTTCTTCCAAGAGTCGGCGTTAGAGGCGCTCAGGCTTTGCCCCAACCACGCCCGCATTCCAAGCCTCAACACAACCGCCACCAACTCTCACGGCTGATTTCTTTCCACGCTCCAACCAACACACCCGGCCGTCCCTCCAGCGGCTGGCACGACCCGTTCATCGGCTGGCACGCGGGTGGCGAGCTCAAAGGCGTCCGCCCCACGTATGGCAACGCTACCAATGACGACGCACTGCTGCTCGGCGCGCGGCGGCCACACCAGCCGGCCTCTTTCGCGTTGCAGCCGGGCGAGGTGCGCCCGCCTCGCGCACAGCAACTTGGGTGGCGGGGTGGGGGGCAGGGAGGGCGCCATGGGGGGGCATCGAATTCGGGGTGGGCGGCGCCGGGCGCTTGCTGTTGGTCCAATTGTTGTGTGTTAGGGCCCCCCCGTCTGCGTTCGCACTGCAGCCGGGGGAGGTGCGCCGGCCGTGGGCGCGCGGGTGCCGAGTCGGGGTGGGGTGCGGCGCTAGGGCGTGGCGCCGGAGAGTGGGGGGCGGGGCCGCCACTGGCTGCATGTCGTGGATGCATTTTGGTTGGGTGGGGCACCTCGGGCACCTCAAACGGTGGAGGCAGGCACGGCGGCCGCAGTGACACGCTTGAAGCTGACCTGTCGACACGGAGCGCACAGCGCACGCAGCACGCGCGGCGCCGCCCTTCGCCGTGCCCTCGTGCCTCGCTGCGCCATGCGTGCATCTTCTGCGCATCCCCTCCCTGCCCAACCCCTCAACCCCTCAACCCCAAAAAGCAGAAGATTGTGCGTGTGGAGCTACAGCATGACAGTGTCATGCGGTGGATGGCCTTTGTCACCCAGGTGGGACGGCCTCGCTGCCCAGAAGCAGCGACAGACCCTGGTGGCCGGCGCCTGCTGCGCAAAACCCCATGCATTGGGGCTGAGGCCCGCGTTGTCAGCTGCGTCGGGTCGCTGTGCGTTGGCTGTGCCACCCCGGCGCTGTCGGGTCTGCTTGGCGTCACGTTCGCCGGCTTTTTTGATCACTGCAAGGCCAATCACGATGTGGTGTATTGTTAGGGCGCGCATTTGCGTTGCCACCCAGGGAGATCAGAGTCCCACAATTTGCTCCTTGTCTGCCCCGCAATTGCCTGTCCCTCTGCCAGCTCGGCCGCCGGTTCGAGTGGGGCTTCAAGGACCGAGAGAACGCAACCTCGGACGCCGATTACGCCCCCCGCGACGGCGCCTACCTGGCGGCCGTCCGTGGTTACGAGGGGAAGCAGCTGCCCAAGGCGCTCGGAGGCTACAAAAAGCGGTACATCATCCAGATCGGCTTTGCATGGGCGATGCCGACATGCGGCGGCTACAAGTGGCGGGAGCCGCAGCCGGAGCAGCTGCAGCCGCAGCAGCAGGCGGCGTTTGTGAACTCGCTATTTGACAGCCTCGTCAGCTATGGCGATGATGGCGGCAGCGGCGGCGGCGAGACAGCCGGAAGCGTCGCTGCCGCGCCGGGGCCGAAGGAGGCGCAGGCAAGGAGCCCGGCGCCGGCGCTGGCACCGGTGGTGCGGCTGCCGGTCGCGCCGCCACCAGTGGCGGCGGCGCCGCCGCCCGCGACAGCGCGCGCGCCTGGGCCGTCGCCTGCGCTGGCGCCACGTCTTGCGCCTCGTCCGGCGCCGGCTGCACTGGCTCCAGGGCTGCCTGTACCCGTTCCGCTTCCCTTGGTTTCTTCAGGGCCGGCGCTGTCGCCGTCAACGGCGCCCCCGACTCAGCAGAGATGAGCCACAGGCCATGCTACAGGCGCGGGCTCATGGTGTTATTTATTTGCTGTGCCTGTCGCAAGCGCTCCCGCGGGGCTTCATGCATGTGTTTTCCTACAGCAAGAGTGGTCACAGGCTGAAACACGCCTGTTGCAATTTGGCAGACTTCGTTTGTGCATATCTTGAAGATTTGTTTGCAGCACACACGGCGTTTTTTATTGTGAGTTGGTTGGTTCACGACTTATCAGGCACCCATGCATGTTTGTAGGGGCACCCAAAAACTCAACCCTGTAGCTGACTGCTTTTGTGCGCACCTATGTGCTTGAAGTACAGTCCTCCCCCGCTACAGCGAACCCCGCAATAGCGAAAACGCTGCCTATAGTGAACGCCGCCGCTACCCCCGATCGTTCGCCACACAAATCCACCCCGCCACAGCGAATGTTCACTACGGCTATAGCGAACGCCCAAGGCCTCTCAGATTCACTGTATGCAGGCGCGCTGTGGTCAGTGCCTTTTGGGACTGCATCGGGCCCACTCATCACCATGTGTGGGTCATGTGCATGCAGGCAGCCACGCACCAGCTCCTGCATATGCACCATACCCCCTTTCACTTCAGCATCGGCCATTGCTCATGAAGCTGATTTCTGAGCTTGATGAGGGTCGCACCCTGCTCAACTGGAGGGTCTGGCTGACCCTCCAGTGTCACCGGTCATCTGCGCCACAGTGGCACCCACTCTGGCATGACTCAGGTTCAGTTGGACACATCACAGTGATCTTCACGTGACGTTTGCAACAATTGCTAACACTTCAGACGGAGCTCACAGTCTGGGCTGAGCCATGTCTGCAGAGGCCACTGTCAAGCCAAAAAGGCTGAACCTGACAGTGCATCAGAAGGTTGCAATATGCGAATAGGGTTTAGGGTCAACAAACTCCAGGCATCCTACAACCCCTTTGGCCCCACAGACTCTGAGCTGATTTTAATTACATATCACTTGCTTTATATGTGGCTGTTGGCATACAGAGCAAAGCAGCCCTCAAATGCTGGATTTTGTGACGTCCCCCGCCACAGCGAACCAGCAGCTGCCAAATTTCACTATTCGCGATAGCGAACAAGCCGGCTATAGCGAACGTGCCGCCGACCCCGGATGGTTCACTGTAGTGGGGGAAGACTGTATTATGCTAGCTTGGCAGTTTCCCTGTGGTGACACCGCCCCTGGGTGCCATCAGAGCCACAGGGCCAGCTGAAATGACAATGCCTGAGTTATGTGGGTGTCCTCTGGCAGCACAGGTGCTCTGTGTGGTGCAGGCGTCCATTGTCTGCAGCGGGATGTTTTGCACTGACATGAACATGCAACTGGGGAGTGTCCTGTGGCTCAAGAATTTACCACAAGCACAACCGTCTCACGACCACAGCCCAGATCAGCATCTGCACTGCCCCTGTGACCAAGCAGCGTGCCTGCGGAGGCGACCCCGCGCGCCTCTAAAGCTTCAGGCGCAAAACGAAAATTCCATACGCCAGCAGCCAACCACGGCCTCCGTTGACATCCTTTTGTTACACAAGCGCGCACTGACGGGCGCGGCAGGGCAACCCGCCCCTCGCAGGAGGCCGCCGCAGCCTAACCGCCCACCCAAACACGCAATGCAGGTGCCAACAACGCAAGCAAGCAAACCCACGATCTGCCTATTGCAATGCCCTGCGTCACACACAGCTGCGAAGGAAGCCACAAGGCACGAAACCACTCGAAAAAACAAATAGTGGGACACGGCGGCCCCGTCATCAGGCGTAGCCGAAGCCCGTGTGGCCCTCCCTTATGGCCAGCAGCAGCCGCTCCTCCAGCTGCTCCCGGCTCTGCGTGTTGGGGGTGGGGGTCGGGGGCTTGGGGTCAGGATTCCAAATTTCCAAGGGTGGCTGGCGCTCCAGCGGGAGGGGGTGGAGGGGGTGAAGCCCACACCAGCGACGCTGCCGCCGCCTCGCTGCCGCGCCTCGCCACGGCGGAATGCGGCGAGCCGTCTCGGGGCAAAGGGACGCCCGCTGCCGCGATCACGACCCTGAGGCCACCCCTGGCAACTGGTGGCTAGGATCGTCGTCGGCCCTTCAAACAGGCAGATTGGCAGGCCGGCTGTTGCTGAAGGGCTGTTGAGAGCGTGGCAGATGCTGCAGGTTGCATGCGCCCCCACCTTTGCCTCCGGCAGGTCGAGCTGGTTGAAGCAGGTGTGGGCAGAGGGCAGCCTGTCGGGTGGGCCGTAGGCGCGGTGTATCTGGAAGCGCTGCGGCCCGCTGATGCCCTGCAGCGCGCGGAAGCCCTCAAGCGGCACCTTGGACGTGCCTTTGGGGGGGCAGGGTGTGTAGAGTGGGCGGTGTGGTGGGTGTGTGCGCTTGCGTGTGTGCAGGGTGCGAGTGTGCTTGTGTTCGTGTTGTGCGTGTCGCGTGTGCTGATGTGCTTTTGCGCCTCCTCGAGCGCACGCCCCGATCGGAGGGCCCCAAATCGGCTGCGCTCCACACGCGCGCGCTGGCGGCGCGGTGGGGGTGGGGGCCGGGGGGGCGGCTGTGTTCCCGTCATTGCTCTCTGCCCACCCGTGACGAACTGCAGAAGCAGTGCCCTGTCCTCCTTGTCCATGGCCTCCACGGCCTGCCAGAACCAGCTGATCACGGGGCTGCTGGGGCTGTAGCCCTGGGAAGGGTGAGGGTGCGCGTGGTTGTGTGGTTGTGTGTGTTTGTGTGTTTTGTGTGTGTGTGTGTGTGTGTGTGTGTGTGTGTGTGTGTGTGTGTGTGTGAGTGAGTTTGTGTATGTGCGTGTGAGGGCGTGCGCGCGCACTCATGTGAGTGCACGCGCGCGTGCTTCTGCCTGTCACTCATCAACCAACACTTGTCCACGCTCATACACACACATACACACATGCCCATATGACGCCGCCGCAAGCAAGCAGCCGCGAACCGCTGCCCCGCCCCCGCTCACAACCACCCCCATCCCGAACCGCCCCCTATCCCACCTGGTACTCTGTGTTGGCGCGCAGGTCTGCCACGTCGATGTCTGGCAGCCCGCTGATGAGCAGCTCCAGCTCGTGGTCGTTGAACACCGACAGCAGGTCGCGCGGGACAAGCTCCCAGAACCCGTCAAGGAACGCCTGGGTTTTGGTTGTGTGTGTGTGTGTGTGTGTGTGTGTGTGTGTGTGTGTGTGTGTGTGTGTGTGTGTGTCGCGGCACAGCATGCTCGAGCACGGGCCACAGCGGCTGCGGACGGGTTCTGGACGGGATTGCCGGGCATGTGATTGCAGCCTCCAACGTCGGTCTTGGGGCTTCGTTTCGCAGCTCGCTCGGCACCCCATCGCCTGGCGCCACCCTTTTCTCCCCTCGTCAGCCCTTCTTCCCACACCCTCCCACCCTCTTTCCCACCCTGTTCGCCCCCTCTTCAGCAGTCCCGTGAACAAACAAGCTCCTGCGAACCCAATCTCTAATCACATTCACACACAAACAGGCTCCCTCCCTCCCTTCCTCCCGGTCTCTCTCCGTCACTCTCACACGCGCCGGCACCCGCGTGCACGCACACACACGCACACACACACACAAACGACCCCCCAAAACGCAGCGCCCCCCAACCTTGATCTGCGCCTTGATGCTGCCTGTCATGCGGTGGCGGGCCACCAGGTCAACGTAGCGCCGCTTGCTGGCCTCGTCAACGCGCAGCTCCCTGCCGCCAGGCACCAGCTCCACCACCTCGGTCTTGCCAAAGTAGTCCGATTCGGCGCTGAGGGGGCGTGTGTGTGTGTGTGTGCATGTGTGTGTGCATGTGTGCATGTGTGTGTGTGTGTGTGTGTGTGTGTGTGTGTGTGTGTGTGTGTTTACTTGTGGAACAGCAATGGTTGAGGACTGCGAGAGAGGAGACTGTGGGGCCGGTGAACGAGTGCACGCATCTGCAGCCCCGCCACCAGGCGCGCGTGGGCGCAGCTCCACAGGTCTTGGCCACCCCCTTCCATCCAGGCCCCCACCCCCCCCTCTCACGTGAAGGTGAGGTCCTCCAGCACCCCGGTGATGTCATGCTCCAACATCCAGGCCAGGTTCTTGTAGTAACCCGGGTCAACTGCCTCCAGGTCAACGTATGTCAGGGGCTGGGGGGAAGGGGCGGGGGTTGCGTGTGTTGTATGTGTTGTGCATGTTTGTGTGTGTGTGTGTGTGTGTGCATGAGGGTATGTGTGTAAGTGATTGCTTGCAGACGGGGTGATGAGGGCTGCGGGGGTTTGCGTGGATCGGTGGCGTGCGCCTGAGGGCAGGGCGCTGGCACGGGGCAGCCAGGGGGAGAGGGGTCAGGTACAGGAGGCCGACTGATTCGTGGTATCGTCCAAGCGTGCCCTGCAAGTCCCACCCCGATATGCCGCTTGCCTGTGGTCCAGAGGCCGCCCCGATCACACAGCAGCGATGGCCCCCTTCCCCCCCTCCGGCCCCCTACGCCTGTGCGGGCCCAGGTGCCCCACCTGGCCGAGCATGTGCTTGTAGAACGAGCGCGTGAAGTAGGCGTCCATGAGCTGCCCGTCGTACAGCGCCTTGCCCACCAGACGCCCCACAAACCTGGGGGGTTGCAGGGGGGAGGAGGGGGGGGGGGCATCACGGCGTGAGCGGCTGCACGTGTGCGTGTGCGTGTGTGGGTGAGAGAGCCGAAGGGAGAAGCCCTGAACGCGGGGGTGGTCGCCGCCAGGCAGCGGGCGTTGCCCAAGGCTCCGCAGACTGGCGCCCTGCAAGGCAGCCCGACCCGGCTGTCGCGCGCGTGCAGCGCGCGAGCGCTCCCTGCCCCACACGGTCGGACCAACAGACGCGTCAGGGTGGGCCAAGGGTTGGGGCCGCCGGGCTCACGAGAAGAACGAGAGGTGTGAGACCCCCGTGTCGTTCTGGATGATGGAGTTGGGGTTGGGCTGGAAGGTGGTGCCGCCCTCGGGGACTGTCACAAACAGCGCCAGGTCCGGGTTGAAGATCTCACGCGCCATGACCTGTGTGTGTGTGTGTGTGTGTTTGTGCGTGTGTGTGAGTATTGATGTGTGTACGTGTACGTGTGCGTGTGTGTATGCGTATGTGAGCATGAGAGCGCATGTGTGCGCACGACCGACCCTGCCCTTCCCGGCAGCGACATCCCCCCCACCCCCCGCACCTGGTACCACTCCCTGCTGACGCCGCCAGCGTCGATGCCCTCCTCCCCGCTGAACTGCACGCTCAGCTTGTACCGCAGCTCCTCGGGGCTGCGGTTGCGCAGCTGCTGGAAGCTGAAGGGGCATGAGGGCGGCGGCGGGAGGTGGGCGTGTACAAAGTTGAGCGAGCATGATAATCGAGTGTGTGTTGATGTGTGTGTATGTGTGTGTTTGTCCAAAAGGGAGTACGGTAGAGGCAAAGGGCGTCGTGCGGGCCGCGCGGCGCTGCAAGGCGCCCATCTCGCAAAGCCCCGGCAACGTAGAGGGCCATGTCGCGTGAGCAGCTGCATCACCCCTGCGGCGCCAACCTCGACCCTCCACACAAACATGTCGCAATGCCCGCGGGAAGGAGGCTGCAAATTGCAGACCCAGCACTGTCCCTGCCCCACCAACACTGCCAGGATGGGCGGGCTGGGGCCAATGAAACGACATAGGTTGATGCATGCATATGGGATGGCGAGTGTGAACTGCTGCCGCGCGGGGTCGTCGGCAAGGGGCCCACCTGTCTGAGAACACGTGC